TATTGGGGGACCTACCTACCAGTTAGCCCGCTATCTCACCAAACCCCTCCAGAAACTTACTGGTCTCAATGATTCCCATATCAAGAGTTCAACAGATTTCGTGAATAATATCACAAAAATCAAGATGAATACTAATGATATGCTGGTGAGTTTTGATGTAGTCTCACTGTTTACCAATGTTCCAGTCCAGGATACTTTGAACATCATCAAGAATTCCGAGGAAATTCCTGCCAACCTCTTCCCACTAATAGAACACTGCTTAACTTCAACCTATTTTCAGTTCCAAGGAGAGTTTTTCGAACAAACCTCTGGAGCGGCGATGGGATCTCCTATATCTCCTATCATTGCAAACATCTTTATGGAACACTTTGAGAATAAAGTTTTGAGGAACGCACCACTGAAACCATCCACATGGTTTCGGTATGTGGACGATACTTTCGTAATTTGGAATCATGGCAGGGAAACTCTTTCTCAGTTTCTCGGGTTTCTCAATTCACAACATCCCAGTATTCAGTTCACAATGGAAGTGGAACAAAATAATCAAATACCCTTCCTGGATGTGCTAGTCCAAAAGAACCAAGATGGCACCTTAGGTCACCAGGTCTACCGAAAACCAACACACACGGACCGATATCTACATGCAACCTCTCATCATCATCCCTCGCAAAAGAATTCTGTCATAAGTTCATTGGTTTACAGAGCGCTCACAATTTCGGAACCATCTTCTCTGAATGGAGAACTAGAACACCTCAGTACAGCCTTAACTAAAAATGGATACAACAGCAAAAACATCTCGCAAATAATAAAAAACCAGAAGAACAGAATTGTCAGTCCTAAAAACACTGACACACTAGATGAAGAGAGAGAAAAGAGAAAAACGGCTGTCCTTCCATATCTCCAGGGCATAACAGAACCTATCAGCAGGATTTTGGGTAAACACAAAATCAAAGTAATCTTCAAACCTCATAGGAAGCTCTCCCATTTACTCCCAAATCCGAAGGATCAGAAATCATGCCTAGAAACATCAGGTGTATATAAGATCCCTTGCTCTTGTGGTAAAGTTTATATAGGAGAAACCGGGAGGAAGATCAGTACGCGAATCAAGGAACACCAGCGATGTACCAAGTATGGTCACTTTACTCAATCAGCCCTAGCTGAATACTGGATGGAGACTGGACACTCCGTATAATATGAAAAAGCCACCAGATTGGCTCCCTCACAGAGTTATTTTGCCAGAAAACATCGTGAAGATCTAGAAATTTTGAAACATCCCAACAACCTCAACCGAGACAAAGGTATGCAAGTAAACTCTATTTGGCATACTGCCCTCCTGGTTTTTTTTTAATTGACCAGCTGATCAATTAAAATACGCTGATTGGCTGGATTCAAGCCTCGTCCCCTACTCGCTAAACACCATCTACACAAAGGGGGGGGGGAGGGGGGCATATAAGGACTACCTTTACCCAAGGGAGCTCAGTATCAGAGTTCTCAGCCCTGATGATGCAAACTGCAACGTTTGCGAAACGTCGGCATATCGCTGATTCAAGACACGGCTCCATTCCGGAAGCTATACCTAGACATTGTATCAATGGCCGTGAAAGCCTCAAATCTAGTACAATACTATACATTTCATTAAATAAAATGAATATTTTGGTATATTTTTTACCTTAAAAGTAAATTGTTATAGCTAAATGTAAAAAAAAATGCATTACAATAAGTGTAAAAAACAAAAAAATGCAATACATTTAATATTAATTAAATAAAATAAACGTTTTGGTGTGTATTTGTACTGTAATTTCTTTCCATTGCACCTTGTAAAATTTAACTAATATTACTTATTATTTCATAATAATTGCATTCATCATAAATATGATATAAAATAGAAAAAAAGAGGGGCATAAACGTAAATTTGATTATATGTTACAAAGACTTTTATTCAATTAAGGAGTTTTTTTATTTGTAATCCAGCAAATATAACGTCACATGTAAGTTAGTTGTAATTGCTCGCTCAACAATGTAATTATTATATAACGCGTGCGTTATGCAACAGTGAAATTGTTGAGTGTGAAATAACTACCGTGTATTTTACATTGTGTTTGCCGAATTACTACCAAACTCATTATTTGAACAAAAGTTATCGTCACGTACAGGAAAATTAGCGTTTTTTCTTTATTTGTGTCTATTGTATATCATATTTATAACGCAAATTACTCTGTTATAATTATATCTATGACAATAGTCTGGCATCTTTTAATAATATACTTTTTACTGGTCTTTAGTCTTTGGTACTTTATATTTTATATTGGTCTTTGGTCAGCTGTTAGTGTTCCGTCAGTTACCGCTGGTAACTGACCGTCATTATCTCTAGTATTTCCTGCAACCATCTTTGGTTTTTTTCTGAAAAAGAAGAAATGATTCATTATATCTGCAGATTTATTTTATGGTTATATAAAATATCACATTATATTATTTTCAATATAAACATATAACGAATATAATCACCTTTCCTCACTTTGTAATCTTTCTGCTGCATGGGCTAACTATATTTTTATATATTTTACAACATCCGATTCAAGGACATTAGGAACATGTCGTCTGGCAACACCTAATATAATACAATTATAAAAACGTTTGAAGTTATAATTATAGACAATTCTGTATTTAAGATATGTTTGTATGGACACATGTGCGTACACATTCTAACTAGTATTATTTATTTTAATGACATTCTGTGTACTCTCTATTTTACTCATCTAATATAATCTTCCATAAACTCGAAAATACAAGTTTCCTTTTTCCACCAACTGTATTTCATGGCAACAGCATTATTGAACACACGTGTCAAAATATTAAGAGTAATAGATTTTAAACCATGTCCTTCTAACATACTCAACATTTTTATCTAAAAACATAATGATAATATAATTAGTATAACTCGTAAAATTGTGAATCGATATATATATATATGTACCCAGTAAGTAATCTGCGCGCAGACTGACGTCAGACTGTCGACAGGATCTGTCGAATCCGAGCAGGATCTGTCGACAGATCCATAGACATCTGCGTCCCCAATCTGCCGCCAGACTGTTGACAGGGTCTGCGAACAGACTCTGACGACAGACTGGCGGCAAATTGCGCGCAGAGCCTGTCGACAGACTGACGGCAGATTGGCGGCAGATTGCGCGCAGATCCTGTCGTTTCGTAGGTTCTTCAGTAAAATTTTCTCATAATTTTTCATAATTACTCATAGAATAAGCGCTTTCTCATAAATACTCAAAAAATACTATGAAAAAAAAATTTTTCTATATTATTTTTTCATAATTTTTAAGATTTTCTCTGGTGAGATTCGAACTTGAACCGAAGACATCTTTTGGACAATCGTCCGTCGCTTTAAACACTACGCCAATTCCTCACTTGATAAAAAGCGCTTTGTATTGCCCACTTAAAGATTAAGGAAA